CTAGCCGCCACGTGTGAATAATTTAGAACTGGCCAATAATGAGGCTCAAATTAGCATATAAATGGCGGGAACTCTTTGCAACGAGCATTTCTGTGCTGCAACAAAGAAATGCACCCTGCAAAGAAAGCTTCAAATTGGCGGGAAATTCTCCCTTGCACTGGGGTTCTCTTTTGTAGCAGAAAACTCCACCGTGCAAAGAAGCTGTAATTTAGCAGGAACAATTTAGCAGTGCCGAAGCACACAAAAACAAAAATCACACCCTTTGGGTTGTGACACTTCCTATAGTTGCACTTTATGCTAAGGAGCAGTCTAGAACTGAGAAGACATACTACAAGTCATAAAAGCAACAAAATGAAGCCATATGCACACACACAGAGAAATATAGGGCCGAAAGGGTACCTCTAGAGGTCATTTAGTCCAAGGGTTTTCAAAATTTTGCCAACCCACACTGCCCCCAGAGCTCAAGCTGCTTATGCTCTCCCTCGCTGTAGGTATCCAGCCAATGCACAGAAACAGCAAGCCAGGCATAAGAACTGCAGTAGAGAGGGCTGCTGAGGAGGGTGCTCTAGAGGGGAGGGGCAGCCCAGCACAGTTCTGGTGCTGTCCAATCCTCTGTGCCATCTCAGGCCAGGTCACCTGTTCTTGGGCTGGATCCAACCTCTCTGCAGGACAGGCTGATCCCTGATCCAAGTCTGCTCTCCTGCACTGAGGAAGATTACACAACCACCCATATCATCCTAGAAGAAAAATGTAATTTGCAGCAAAGCTAACATAAGTAACTTTCTCTTGTCCAAGCCCCAGTAAATATGGGAAACCATTGATCACCATCTTCTTTATAATTACCACTTATTTAACTTGCAAAAGGCAAATAAAAAAACCCAAACTGGTGGATATTAGTAGTTGAATTCCTCAGACATAATTAGGAGACCAGTTTTAAAGTTAGAGCTATTTTCCTTATTGCCAATCACTGCATCTTCATGCCAGGTTACTAACAGAGCTGTTCAGAAGTGTTACAGAAGCCACATTTCAGTAACAGATTGACAACAAAACACCCCCAGACTATCATCTTTTGGGCCAAATGCCTGTCATTAATTCGTGGTAACCTTTTCTCTGGTTTCACGTTCTCTCTCAATTTTTTCCCCAGGCCATGCTTTCACTTCTTATATTTGCACTTTTTTTGGTGGCTCATTCTCTTCATTTTCACACCTAAAAGTACATAACAGTTGTGATACTGACAAATATCCCATTACTATCCATACTCCCAGCCCACAAAGCCACCGTCACTGAGCAGAAGGCCATGAGTGTCAAAAACATGTTGCTTGAGCTTGCAACCCTGTATATCTGGGTCAAAGAAGTTCCACACATCTAATGCTAGAGCACAGAGCTGGTTAGCTGCGTTAATCTGAAGTTTGGAAGAAAGTTAGGCATTCTAGGGCCCTGGGGGACATAACTTCTGTAGTACTACAGACTTTGCAGCACTACACAGAGTACTACAGATGGCCACATCTTCAAAGCCCTTGGTCTGGAGAACAACAAAGTTGCCAAAAATCATGCTCTCCAGCCAGACAGCAGCCAGTAGCTGCTTCTTTGTTCACTCTGGCCAAAAGCAAATCTTCTGGTGGACCTTCTGGCTCACTGACGCACTTTCCTGATCTGTTGGTCTTGCCACAGCAACAGCTGATCCAGATCA